ACACACACACACACACACACACACAGAAAAGTTTACGAACACCTCTATCGAGTGATCACTAGGTAATTCTCACAACCAGTTGAGGGTAGGCATTGTGATCTCCATGTTATAGATAAAAAGAATTTAAAAAATAAAAAAAAATAAACTTGATGAAATTCTGAGATACCCATATCTTGGTCCAAGGCAAAGGAAGGAACGAGCTAAGTTTTTTGTTCATTCCATTGTTATCTCAGTTCCTGTTCCCCATGGAAACGGATCATCTATTAAAAGCTCCATGGGTTGTTTTTCCTAGCCCCTCTCCTCACACCTGAACCCTCAGTTTCTTCCTTATTCCACTCCAGTTCTCCAACCCAACTTTGCTCTTATGTTTATGTCAAGTCAACTTTATGATATTTTATTGGGCCCAAATTCCAAAGAGTAAACCCCTGGGCTTGGTCTGAGCAGCTCAATAATGAAATTCATCCATTTATTTAACAAACATTTAAAGTGCCCAGGTGGTGGTACATGCCTATAATCCCAGCATCTCAGGAGGCTCAGGCAAGAGGATTTCAAGTTCAAAAGCCAGCCTCAGCAATTTAGCGAGGCACTAAGCAATTTAGCAAGACCCTATCTCAAAATGAAAAATAAAAAAGGATGTGGCTTAGTAATTAAGCACCCCTGGGTTCAGTTCCTTGGGGGGGGGGATTGAAAGTTCCAGGAGTGCTGATTTTGGCAGCATATATACTAAATTTGGACTAATACAGAGAAAATTAGCATGGCCCCTAGAATGACACACAAATTCCCGAAGCATTCCATAAGTTTGTTTTCTCTAATAAGTGGATGCTGATCCATAGTTGTGGGGCGGGAAGGAAAAAAAATGAAGAAACTTTGGATTGTGCAGAGGGGAGAGAGTGGAGAGGTGGCACGGTAGGGATGGGAAGGATAGTAGAATGAGATAGACATTATTACCCTATATTCATGTATGATTACACTACTGGTGTGACTCAGCACCATGTACAGCCAGAGGAATGAGAAGTTATTCTCCATTTGTGTACAATGTGTCAAAATGCATTCTACTGGACAGGCACCTTGACCCATGCCTGTAATCCCTACGGCTTGGGAGCTGAGGCAGGAGGATCTCAAGTTCAAAGCCAGCCTCAGTAACTGTAAGGTACTAAGAAACTCAGTGAGACCCTGTCTCTAAATAAAATACAAAATAGGGCTGGGGATGTGACTCAAGGGTTGAATGCCCCTGAGTTCAATCCCAGATACCACCAAAAAAAAAAAAAAAAAATGCATTCTACTGTCATGTATAACTAATTAGAATCAAAAAAGAAAATGTCAGGAAATGAGTAAAACATGATCCCTCAAACATCTTCAATTTTCCTAGTGATCTTCTGGAACTTGGGATTAAGAAATAAACCTGGGCCAGGGATGGTAGCCCATGCCTGTAATGCTGGTGGCTTGGGAGGCTAAGGCAAGAGGATCACAAGTTAGAGGCCAGCCTCAGCAATTTAGTGAAGCTGTGAACAACTTAGTAAGACCCTGTATCAAAATAAAAAATCAAAAGGATTGGGGATATAGCTCAAAGGTAAAGTATCCTTAAGTTCAGGTCCTAGTATCAAAAAAAGAAGAAAGAAAAGAAATAAGGCTGGAGCTGGATGTTGTGGTGACACATGCCTGTAACCCCAGATACTCAAGAGGCAGTGGCAGAAAGATGACAACTTAGAAGCCAGCCTGGTAAAGCTTGGAGAAACTGATGTCTGGGAAGAGGTATCCAGCATCAGATGTTAAGCACCTTCAAATAATTTTGTCACTTAGCACTCTTTCACTCACTCTGCCTTCTGGCTTTGTCCACGGTCATACTTGAAGATGACCACCTCTGGATTTCTCCTCTTGTAACTTGCTGCCTTCAACTAAGACATCTGAAAACAGACCTCTCCCCATCCTCACCCATGCAACTTTGAGCCCCTTCTCAGGCATCTAAGATCCTGCAGGTCCAAAGGCATAGGTAGATATTCATAGCTCCAGATTCCTCTCTAAAACATAATGGCCTCCATGGTTTTTGTTGTTGTTTTGGGTGGAATGAGGGATACTGGAAATACTGGGTATTGAACCCAGGGCCTACATGGTAGGCATATCCTCTACCAAAGAGCTACACCCCCATTCTCTTAAAAAACAAACAGGAGCTGGGGTTGTGGCTCAGCAGTAGAGCACTTGCCTAGCACGTGTGAGGCCCTGGGTTCAATCCTCAGCACCACATAAAAATAAATAAATAAAATAAAGGTATTGTGTCCAACTACAACTAAAAATAATAAATATTTTAAAATTTAAAAAACAAACAAACCTTATTTTGAGGGCTGAGATTATGGCTCAGTGATAGAGCACTTGCCCAGCACATGTGAGGCACTGGGTTCGACCCTCAGCACTGCATAAAAATAAATCAACAAAATAAAAGCATTGTGTCCATCTACAACAACAACAAAAAAAAATTAATAAAATTTAAAAAAAAATAAACACTTTATTTTGAGATAGGATCTTGTTAAATTGTCCAGGTTTCTCAAATTTGCATCTTTCTGCTTTAACCTTGGGATGACACCAGGATGAAAGGTGTGCCACCCTGCCTGCTACTGTGCTGGGGCTCCCTCATTATTTTGTTCTTCATTTTATGTTAATTAATTTATTGGTTTATTAATTATTTTGGGAGGTACTGGGGATCGAACCCAGAGCACTCTACCACTGAGCTACATCCCTAGCCCATTAAATTTTTTGTTTTGAGACAGCGTCTTGCTAAATTGCCAGGCTGGCCTCAAACTTGCAATTCTCCTCTCTCAGCGTCATTAGTGGCCAGGATTGCAGGTGTGTACCACTAAGTCTGGATCCTCATGTCTTCTTCTTTAGCTACCTCTGGCAGATGGGGCTCTTTTGGACTCAGGTTCTTCATCTTCTCCCTTTTGGGCTCTCTGTGCTCCCACCAAGGTTGACTCTTGTGGCTGTCACCCCTTCCCTCAGGAGTCTGCTTTTGCCCTGATCCTTTGGTCTGCCTTCTCAGGGGCTCCCTTGGCATCTCACAGTCTGTGGCCCTCTCCCTTTGTCTTTCCAGGGTACTGGTCTCTGTCCTATCGGTTCCTCTGCCCCTGTTCCCATCTCTATGTCCCCTCGTCTTTCTGGTCTGCTCTGTAGACCTCAGTCTTCCCTTGTTTAGCCGCACCTCTCTGGACATTCCTTATCTCTGTCTCCGATTCTCTCCACCCTAACTCTACCCATTCTCTTATTCTAACTAAGTCTCTCACCTCTGTCTAGTCCCATCCGACTCTTCTTTTCCCTCCTTTGTCTGTCTCTCTGTCTCTCTTACCTCTCTTCCTGTCTCTCTGGATTTGTCTCTTCTTCCCTTATCCCTCCAGTCTCTCCTAGGTCTCTCTGACTCTGACTTTCCCTCTATACCTACCCCCTCCCCCTCTCCTGTCTCTTCACCTTTCTCTGGGCCCTTGCTCCCTCGCTCCCTCCCTCTCTCTTTTCCTCCGCTCTCTCCGGCTCCCTCTCTCGCCTCGGATGACAGCGCTACCTCTTTTGTTGGCTCCGCAGCCAATCGCGGCCGCTGACGAC